GCACGCACGCACGCACGCACACACACACACACACACACACACACACACACACACCTTCTTTATACGCTCTTGATGTTATCTCTCTCTATGGCGCTTTGATATTAATTACATATCAACGGGGTCGTAGACAGGCGATTTCAGCTATGGACTTTGATTTTATACTGGCAATTATAATCCACTTTGATCAGAATTGCTATTGCGATAATGTATTTCATTTTTCCGCTACAAAATTCGAATAGGCTGTGGACAACGTAGCGTGAACCTATGCAGTTAATTCATTCACGTGAACAAGCAAAAACCCGTTCTTTCTTATTCTTAAACATTAGGTACCGTTACCTTGGGCTAACACTATAACTGGGCAAGTGATTATAGTTACAATGGCCGGCCACATGTGACCTTCGTGCTCATCTGGAGCCAAGCACGCTGTTCATACCAACAAAGCGCAAAGTCGTGATGCAGGGCAGAGGAATGACAGGCACATTAAATAATAAATCTTGAGTGTCACGAAGGTCAACCTGTTTTCTACACTCACGTGGGTGACACACCCACACAAAACTGTATAAATAGAGAAGGATGTGCACACATCAACATTATCTGCACCGTTTCCCTGTCAGTTGTTGTCTGAGCTCGCCGAAAAGTAAGTGTAAATAGTTTGTTATGGTTTTCTAAGTCGTAAACGTTTAGATTCATGTTTCATTTATTTCCTATTGAAATTGAATTATTATCTGTTAACAATAATACAATTTTTCTTTCCTAATCAATTTTGTTGGCCAAGGTTCCGTTGGCTAGTTATAAAACAAAGTAAATCGTTTAATATTTCAGTTAATATACATTTCTTTATTTGGTTTACAGGTCAATATGAAAGCCGTATCTATAATCTGCGGACTCGTTGTCCTAATGTTGATGGTACGTATAAACCATAAATTTAGTTAGAGATGTTTACGGTATCTATGTTTTATTCGATTATTGAACATAGCTGGTAAAATTGTGCCGAAGGTTCACGGACGCAGTCAGATACTGGTGAATGCACTTGTGCATAAGACACCGATGCTAATCAGGTTTTGGAACGCGCTCACAATGCGTGTTTCAATCCGACTCGATGACGTCGCTCTGTTTACCAATAACTAGCACGAAGCATTCTTTAGTTTCCTTTTACACACCTGGTTGAAAACACATAAAACACGCGAAACCTCCAATCACTGTCTTGGTAGTAACAAATTCTCCGTTTTAGACACTGTTTTTTTAGTGTAGGCCTACGTTTGCAATCCGATTGATTTTGAACTATATAGTTTGGATTTCGAGGTATTTAACTCTATTTTAACCAAAAAAATGTTTTGCCCCAAACAAGCTTATAATCAGCCGTGCAGTCGCGAAAGAAGGCCTAGAGCGTTATAATCATCTGAACCCCATTCTAGAACCACTCATGTGAGTGATGTACTGTATTTCGCTTAATCAACAACGCATTTGCACCTATAATTGCGCCAAACGTTATTTCTCAAATTCACCATGAAACATGTGATGAATTTCATTTTACCCATGCTTATTAACATTAATAACAATGTTATTTTACGGTAAATCGATTAAATTATAACCTGTTAAAAAACGTTTCGAGAAAACTGGTCTGCTTGATTACATACGCTATACATTATAACGCTATACATTATAACGCTATTATACTAGATACAATTGGTAATTTATACAGCCTCATCTCAGACATGTATGGTTATTGTCAGGTTGCCGCCGTCACACCATCTTATGGTGGGTATGGGTATCGCTCGTACCCCAGCCGCTATGGATACGGTCGAAACTATGGTGGATACGGCCGCAACTATGGTGGATACGGCCGCAACTATGGTGGATACGGCCGCAACTATGGTGGATACGGTATTAATTAATTAATTAATTAATTGGATCCGGATCACCACCAAAATCTTACCAATTCCAAGTTAGCCCATTTCTGACCTATCCTGAAAATTTTATGACAATCCGTCCATAACTTTTTCAGTTAGGCTGTACACAAACAAACCTATAGATTGATAGATAGATATTCGCTGAGTGCGAGCGTGCAGGTGGGGGAGAATTGTGGTTGCCCTTATAGGATTGTGGTTTGCCTTATTAGCCTGTGGTTGCGTGTTTGTAAGCTAGTCTACAGCCAGCCCACCTAGTGGAAGTGAACTGAAACGTGCATGTTCACAAACCCACAAACCAACACTCAAACACACGCCGGTGAAAACATAACCTCCGCCAAGCCCCTGGCGGAGGTAATAAGTAACATTCTTAAAAAAAAGAGCAAAATGCATTGAGTAGTTTTGAAGATCTATTTTCTTGAAAGTCAGTGGACGGCGGCGGGCAGGGTTACACCTCCCGTTGTCAAATATTTGCACACACGCGCGGACGCACGCACACACCGCATTCACACACATACGGGCATGCGCACGCACAATCACACGCGCACCCACCCACACACATACCACATTTACAGAAACACGGGCGCGCACACACATACACGCACGCGCACATGCACACGCACACACACGCATACATACGTACGTACGTACGTACGCATACACGCTCCCCCCTCACGCACCCACCGACCCACCCACACACCCACGCACACACATACGACATTTACACACACACGGGCGCGCACACATAAACGCACACGCACACGCAAACACACGTACACGCATACATACCGACAGTCAATATGTATGCGTGTACGTGTGCGTTTAAATGTGTGCGCGCCCATGTGCGTGTAAATGTCGTATGTGTGTGCGTGGGTGGGTCCGTGGGTGGGTGGGGTGCGTGCGTGCGTGCGTGCGTGCGTAAATACGTACGTACGTATGCGTGTGTGTGCATGTGCGTGTATGTGTGTGCGCATGCCCGTATGTGTGTGAATGGCCGTGCGTGCTCGCTTGTGTGTGATGTGTGTGCGCGCGCGTGTGTGTGATGTGTGTATGCGCGCGTGTGTGTGATGTGTGTGTGTGATTTTCTCAACGAATTTGACGTTTCACAAAATCCACTCCTGGGACACTCAAATCCGCCGATTTCCCCCTGATCAGAGATTCCATGATCAGAGATTCCGCGAATCCGCGGAAATCGGCGGATTTGACAGTCGCAGGGATCGATTTTGTAAAACGTCAAATGCGTTGAGAAAATTTGGGGGGGGGAAGAAAAAATTGAAATTATACCTTCAACAGTACCTGACAGTAGACTGACAGCGAGGTCAACAGCGGGTGTTACAGATAGCCAGTGTGTATACCGCGCCTGCCGCTAGGGCGTACGATGTACGCGAGTCATGGCAAGCAGTATGGCATGCTGTTTGTGTCATAATTCGATTTTTGTTTTATGGTTGATTTTATCGCATATAACATTCGATTTATCACATATAACATTCGATTTATCACATATATCATTCGATTTATCAAATATAACATTCGATTTATCACATATAACATTCGATTTATCACATATATCATTCGATTTATCAAATATAACATTCGATTTATCACATATAACATTCGATTTATCGCATATTATTTGATTGGTTAATGCTGGTTTAAATAACTCAAACAACAGGTTAGCAAACTTAAACACGGCAGCATCACAGCCAGCGAGGCTGGAGCTGCCACAAACGTCTACGCGTAGCTTCGCGCTGGCTAAGCAAATGCCAGCACGAAGAACGCGTTCGCACCGACCTGCTGGCGTTGTCGAATGACCTACTGGACCGAAAGCCATTATTGCAGCACCAGCTTGTGCGCGATGAAAAACAACTTAAATCGCATAGCGTGATTCCCGTGTCAATTATTAGATGGGGCAAAAGAGCAAAAATTGTGGAAATCATATTAACTATAGAAGCAAGAGTGAAAATTATGGAATACACAAATGTTTACTGAAATGACGCAGCGTCAGTTGACTTGCGATAGCGAGTGAAAAATGCAGAAATTTTCTTCCTCTTTGAGCGAAAATGCATCGGCCGGGCATTGTTCATTATTACGAAAAAGTCAACGGGCTTGCAGTAGGTACAGGAGTCAGCTCACGTCGTTGACGCCCCATCAATCGCCAATCAACAAATATAGGCGGGGCTTATCGTGTCCTACAGAATATGGCGAAAATGAAAGAAAAGAACTTAGCACTGATGCGCAAAACAGCCGTGTTAAGTTCGTATTTGGCCAAACTCTATCGGATGAAACCGTTCTAGCCTAGCAGAAAAGTGCACTAGTTTCCTGAGATCGGCGATTCCGTGTCCGAATGATATTGTACTCACAAAATTTTGAATCATAAAGGGGCGGCGTAGGACCCTGTGATTGGAAGACACGAAAGGTGTCAATGCCGCTCCTCGGCTAAGCGCCTCGGATCATGGCCAGCTATTACGTGCTAAGCGCCCATCTATCAACAAACTTTATACAATCAGAACAAACTGATAATCAAAAAATAATAATGTACAATCTATTCTAGTAAATTTTGAGTAGGGATGGATTGTAGAGGATGTGCGCGAGAAGACCGGAGGAGGTAGAGGAGAGTGGGAGAATGTGGAGGAAGTAGACTGTCATTGTATAGAGCTTGTGATAGATTGGCTCTCAGATTCAGGAAACGTGGCCAAGTAAAATTTTCAGGACGAAAGTCATTCGATGCGTGAATCGAATGATTGCGATTGGCGTGATCGAATGATGTCGATGCATCATTCGATTTCACGCATTGAATGATTCGATTCCACGCATACGAATCATTCGACTCAGCCAATCGAATCATTCGATTCACGCATCGAATATCAATTCGATCACGTAATGCGAATGATTTCGGATGCATCAATTCGATGCGTGAATCGAATGATCCGGATGCGCGAATCGAATGATTGATGCATCATCTCCGATTCACGGCATGACGAATCATTCGAATTCAACGCATCGAATCATTTTGATTCACGCGCATTCGAAATGATGATGCCATTGCATTCGATGGCCGTGAATTGGGAAACAAATCACATCGATCGTCGAATCAGAATCATTCGATGCGTGAATCGAATCATTCGAATGCTGACATCGAATCATCTCGATGCATCAATTTCGACTTCACGCATCGAATCATTCGATCACGCATCGAATCATGCTCGATTCACGCATCGAATCATTCGATCCTTTTCTGATATAAAAATC